TACTAAATAAAAGTTATTTCTTGAGCCCGAAATTGTTCGCGCACAATCCGAAAAATCCTGTCGTAACTTTAGTGGTACTGATACCACATTTTGAGGACCAACTATGTTAGAGCAATGGAAATATGATAAGGTAGTGCATTGAACAGTAATCTTCGTATAAAATTGATGAACGCTGTACACATAAATTATTATTTGGATTTTTTCGTACATTATCACTGCTGCTATGAAATGGTTGCCTAAAATGCATTCATTAGTTAAAATAATATACGTTTAAAAATTACTTTTTAGAGACAAGACTTCTAAAGAATCCAGTGTCTCCGATGTTACACATGAAAATGAATTTATAATTTTATTTTCAAATATTAAAAAAATAACTTCTATTTTTCCTATATAAAAATTTATTAAGTTCTCAAAATAATTTATTCTGTCAATTGATTCATGCATTGTCTCCGACTTTACTTACGTGTGCAAAATTCAGATCGATTTGACTGGTAGAAGTGTGTTTAGTATCGATTATAAGATTTGTAGCAGACAAACAAACAAACAACAATAAGTGAAGTTAAAGAGAAGTGCTGTAAAAAAGAGCATTCACGAAGCAAAGTCCATTAGCCAGTCTGTGGTGATCTGCATCCTACCCTCAACCAATGTAGGCAGCATAACATCCTACCCTCAACCAATGTAGGCAGCATAACATCCTACCCTCAACCAATGTCTTCCTAACCTCAACCAATGACTGCGTTGAGCAAATAAAAGGCTTGGTGACTGTTCACGTCGACAAACATTCATCCAGAGCCCACCCGTTGATCTGACGGGTGGGGGTGATCTGGCAAACATTTCGGAGTTCGTTGGTGTGTCAGAGGGCATAAATTAAAATGAATATGTCAAATGAATATTCAAATAAATTAAAATGAATATTTCGAGCACGAATACGAAATATCGCCTCGGGATTTTATTTGTACCTTGTAATTCACCTTGGAGAGAACAATGAACTGCGAGCGCACAGTTTTAGAAAACATGGTTGCAACGTGAGAGTGATGAGCGAGAAGTCGATAGTGGAAAAAGATTTACGAGGTTATCGACAAGGAGTTGAAATTTTCTATGAATATTGAAGCACAGATTTAAAAAGTTTCGTCAGATCGGACGCTCTTACGAGTACCTATGATGCAGAAGTGATGAAGCTGTTTTTTGTAGCTGTTGTGCGCCCGAACTTATAGTTTGCAATGCCCTCTGGTCACCGAAACTCGAAAAGACAAAAATTTCGTCGAGAGTGCTCAAAGACGTGTAACAAGGATAATTCCAAGCTTAAAGGAAAAGTCTCATGAAGAAAGATTAAAGATTATGAAGCTTCCAAGCCTGTGTTATCGACGTCTGTGTGGTGGCCTCATTGAAGTATACACGCATACTCATGTATTTATACAAAGTCCAAGAAGGATTATTATAATTTGAAGCAAGAACCAACACCAGGGGCCTCGCTTAAAAGTTTAAAAACTGAGGAGCAAAACATTCGTGAGACAACACTCTTTCTCGATGCGAGTCACCGACATGTGGACCAGCCTCCCTGCTTACATCGTTGACGCTCCGAGTATGAACGCGTTCAAGAACAGACTAGAAAAAGCTGGAAGCATATGTTCCGTCTCGACATGCCTAGAACCTTAAGGAACTTGTAAAAAGTTCAGTAGCTATTTCAAACCAAAGCATGTTTTGGAAAGATCTGCTCAAAAAAACCAGTTTCAGATCTCCTCAGAACAAGTAAAAAAAGTACAAGAATCGGCGACAGGCCATAGGCCTATTTTTTCAGCACCGACACCTCTATTCTTTTTTAAACTATGGACCTTGATTGTTCGCATGAAATCATGAAGCATCGCAAAGCAAGAATTAGCTTATAAGTTTGAGTTCTAATTCAGTTATACTCATGTTAAAACTTTAACACAAAAAATTGTGGTTTTAGCAAGCCTCTCGATGGCTGGCATCAGTTTAGTTTGGCAGTTATTATGACTGCAAGAATGTCGATTTGATGAAGGAATTTATCTTTGATGAAGATGAACTATCTTTACAGAGTACCGACGGTCTTGCCCTGCTATTATTTTAATGTCTTGTACATGCAAGCCTACACAGACTTCATTCGGGACGTTGTCTCATACCGTGGTCGAATAAATTTTCGGAACCCAATTTTTTTACTTGAATACAAAGGCTACAAGAATTTCGTCCTTCTTTGCTCATACGTCATCTAACATCGGGGGTTATTTACAGAAGCCGGAAAATCAATCAATCATCCATAGCTCATTACTTAGTTCAATAAAGTTAGTTTTGGTTGTAGCGTCAAAGCTGGTACGTCGGTCTGACAGGAGATCGCTCCATGATAACGGCATCAGCACAACAAACCTTAAGCGTATAGCCCACGTGGAGTAAAATAAAAGCTACTCCTGTGAAAGCAATGAAGAGCGATGTACACAGGGATAAGAAATAAGTCAAGTGGTATACCCGGAGGGCTCGGTTACCTCTAGCCCTTTGGGACGAGCTCGTCGGGTTCGGGGTGAGAAAACGTAGAGCGAAAATATAAGGGTGTGGTTATAGCACAGTCGTTTATACAACAGAATGTTAAAAACAGGAGCAAGAAAAAGGTCAAGTCTCAATTACGTTGCGACACGCACCTAGATTAATAAGAGTAGAGTGAGTACCGAATGCTGGACATAAGAACCGTAATTGCGAGGGGCCTCCGATCTACCAGCCTTACAATGTTATGTCACTGATCTTTCAAGAGGCCAAAAAGAAATGACACGTGAAAAGTAAAGAAGTTTTGACTTCTTAATAAATTACGTTCAGAATGACTTAATTATTTTTCACAAGGTTAAATGGATTTAATTAGCAGTTAGTCATAGCAATGAAGTCAAATGGACAAGCCGCATCATAAGAAAACGTCTATGAAATACGATAAGACTCTTCCTTCCATCTCCTAATGAGGGTACGAGTAAAAATTTCCTCGCAATTAACGTAAATAAACATTGAAAAAGTTATGAAAAATCACTCAAGCCAGATGAAAAAATCGTGAAAGGATGGCTTCTAACACTCCTGCCCTAAGCGAAAGTTTCTATGTAAAATAATATCGCCAATCTTGTAAGTGAGAGCAAATTTGAAGTACCAGGTAAAACCCGTTCTAAAGAAGAGCCAGAGAAAGCCCGTCCTAAGGAAGATCCAGCTAGAGAAAGCCCGTCCTAAAGAAGAGCCAGGGAGAGCCCGTCCTAAAGAAGAGCCAGGGAGAGCCCGACCTAAAGAAGAGCCAGCGAAAGCCCGTCCTAAAGAAGAGCCAGGGAGAGCCCGTCCTAAAGAAGAGCCAGAGAAAGCCCGTTCTAAAGAAGAGCCAGAGAAAGCCCGTCCTAAGGAAGATCCAGAGAAAGCCCGTCCTAAAGAAGAGCCAGGGTGAGCCCGTCCTAAAGAAGAGCCAGGGAAAGCCCGTCCTAAGGAAGATCCAGAGAAAGCCCGTCCTAAAGAAGAGCCAGAGAAAGTCCGTCCTGAAGAAGAGCCAGGGAGAGCCCGTCCTAAAGAAGAGCCAGGGAGAGCCCGTCCTAAAGAAGAGCCAGGGAAAGCCCGTCCTAAAGAAGAGCCAGGGAAAGCCCATCCTAAGGAAGATCCAGATAAAGCCCGTCCTAAAGAAGAGCCAGAGAAAGCCCGTCCTGAAGAAGAGCCAGGGAAAGCCCGTCCTTAAGAAGAGCAAGAGAATTAAAGCCCGTCCTTAAGAAGAGCCAGGGAAAGACCGACCTGAAGAAGAGCCAGGGAAAGCCCGTCCTGAAGAAGAGCCAGAGAAAGCCCGTCCTAAGGAAAATCCAGAGAAAGCCCGTCCTGAAGAAGAGCCAGGGAGAGCCCGTCCTAAAGAAGATCCAGGGGAAGCCCGTCCTAAAGAAGAGCCAGAGAGAGCCCGTCCTTAAGAAGAGCAAGATAAAGCCCGTCCTTAAGAAGAGCCAGGGAAAGCCCGTCCTGAAGAAGAGCCAGAGAAAGCCCGTCCTGAAGAAGAGCCAGAGAATGCCCGTCCTAAAGAAGATCCAGGGGAAGCCCGTCCATAAGAAGAGCCAGGGAGAGCCCGTCCTAAAGAAGAGTCGGGAAAGCCCCTCCATAAGAAGATCCAGGGAAAGCCCGTCCTGAAGAAGAGCCAGAGAAAGCCCGTCCTTAAGAAGAGCCAAGGAAAGCCCGTCCTGAAGAAGAGCCAGAGAAAGCCCGTCCATAAGAAGAGCCAGGGAGAGCCCTTCCTAAAGAAGATCCAGGGGAAGCCCGTCCATAAGAAGAGCCAGAGAGAGCCCGTCCTAAAGAAGAGTCGGGAAAGCCCCACCATAAGAAGATCCAGAGAAAGCCCGTCCTAAAGAAGATCCAGGGAAAGCCCTTCCACATTGACCTAATTAAGTGAGCAAGAATTAGCATGAGGATGCTACAACCATAACTTTTGCAGCAGCTAATGTGACTGGTTGTAATTTGTGGCTATTGGCACTAGGCCATTATCGGGCTAGTAGCCTGGAGTAATGACTGCTTCAAGGCATAACACGAGTAGCAGCAACTGAAATAAAACGTATTTCTTCTTAAGAACGCCAAACCTAAATCTAGATCCATATATAAAATTTACATATATCTATATCACTTTTTCAATTGGAACAGAGATTCAAACCAGAAAGTTAAAAAGTTTGGGGTCGTATGATTGATCGTGGTTTTGAATTTTGATCAATTGCAGAAACTCGATTCAAATACTTCATAAATAGTGTGTAATTTCGAAATTATAGAGTAATGTTTATACTTGATGCAGACCAATTACTGACAACAAATAATTTAAAAAGTGGACATGAAGCTAATATCAAGAATATCTTTGGTAAGCTGTGCTGGAACAAGTTCCACCCTTTTAAGGATAATGCCTTGTCAGAAACTTGAGATCTTCAAGGATAAATCTTATATAAAAAACGTAAACCTTGGGCATCCCCACTTAGGCATAAGGCCTGAGCGCCGGTATAAAAGCTGGCATTCGATCCCTAGGCCTACACTGTTACTCATCCTCCCATCCGCGTAGTAGGTCCTGGCTCTGTTATACTGATCTATTAAATGCAAGTGGATCATAGTTTACGATAACTCTCTACTTGAGCTTCGGAAACGGTACGACTTCGCTTTAGAGATAGAATGTCGTCCCATGTTTTAGCTATGGGTAAACGTGGGAAGGAATTTCTATTTTACAGTATTTAATCAATTAAAAATATGTTCACTCAGAAACCATGAAGCGTGGTTTTTGATTCACCTGAAATTTACGACTGAATATGTATAAATTTGGCAACCTCAAGTCAACTGAACAGAGAAACCATTAATTAATAAGACAGCAACGATACGTACTTCAATGAAATCACAGCTTATATACTTGCCTCATTGGAGTAATATTTTGAAATTACATAAGAAGCCAACGGATTATTTCATGGTAGCTTTCGGCCTCTGCATGCAACCGAGGTGCATTGAGCTAACCATTATAAGCTTGACTTTTTTTTATAACATTTTATTGACCGTCTTCACAAGAAGCGCCATAAAATTAATTTTGCTCTAACCAGAGACGATTGCCTAGGAAGAATTTTCCATTGCAGCTCAAGATGACTCTACTTCTCGTTGCCTTGTCGAGCCTTTTGGTCGGGGCACAGGCCCTGCTGCCTCACCTCGATGTCTGCAACTCCCACCAGACCGCGCCATCGTTCAACGAAGCTTTCATAGAGAAGGTAATTTATCTGATGCTTAGCTTTGCTAACAATTTTATTTCCATTTATTCACTTACAGTTAAAATAGCATAAATCTGTGTTCAGAATAACACGAAGCAGTCGTGTTGACAGCCTTTTTATTTACAATAAAAAAAAATTCATAGATGGCTAGGGGCGTGTATGATGAAACCTTTGTTAAAAATGATGAGGTACTGCGGAAACAGCATTAGAGGTATATGAATCATGGGTACATGAAATGTTTTTGTAACAAATGATGAATTTTTCCGTGTTCGAGCTCTTAAATAAATAGCTGATCGAAATGCCACCAATCGCAAGTAAACACAATAATTTAACTTATTACTTTGGACAGATGCGATCCAACTCTGCGGGCTACTCCTTCATCTTCACTTCAGGACCAACGTTCGGTTGCCAAAAGATTAAGTTTTACCCCAACGGCTCTTTCTTCTACGATTTCGTCGAGTTGTGAGTGAGATGTTCTAAATTCCGTTGACAAAAACTTTTATGTGAAAAATTACCATTGTTTAAGTACGAAATTAATTAAGACATGATCAGAGTTAGTGGTTTGAAGAAATTTGGCACAGTTTGATGGACAAACTATAACAGAAAAACAATGGCTCCCCCAAATCTGAAAAAAATTGCTGAACATTTTGCGATAGTTTCCCATTGAGTAATTCGATGATGAATGTATATACACTCCATGGTATTGAAAAATTTTTTTTCTTATGTTGCAGAGGGAAGAGACGCGTGAACGCTACAGGAACTTACATTATGACACCTTTCTCCTACACCTCCCCAGCACGCATCACTCTGACGTCTCTGCCTTATGGAGGTAACCGGAGTAATTCAACTATTTTTTATAGGCCTTGGACTAAACATGCAAAATTTATTCGGAACGACTGTCAAAAATATTAGAACATTACCTCCAAGAAAAATGCACGTTATCCATTCCCCTGATCGACAGAACTTGGGTCCTTCTTGGGCACAACGAGCTTCAGTGTCATGGCGGCGACTGACGAGTACATGGCGCTGCTCGCCTGCGTCAGCTTAGGCCTCACCCGCACCCGTGAGTTTTTTCACCCAAGTTGGGTCGGTGCATAGGTACTTAATTTGTAACATGAGCTAGAAAATTTGGTAAACATTGGATTCAAAGGTTCTAGCCGCTCCAAATATAAATTATTTTCTCTCTACTTTGCAGAAGAACTTCACATCCTGGTTCCGCAGACTCACGTCGGTTCGATTTCAGTAACAAATCTGAACAAGACAATTCAGGACTCACAGCTGCCTCGTGTAAGATATTTACGTGAAGTTGAACAAACGTGCAATGCAGGTTTTCGTGATTTTGGGAACATTTTTCACCTGCTGAACAAATTCAAGTACAACACCCTGCACCGTTTGAGTCTATTGTACCCAGGGGGCCTGGTCGTTGAGAAGTCTCTCCATAAATCACTTACCAGCCATGATAGGCCATTCTCCCGCAGTGCTTCTACGTCGAATGGCGTTCCATCTCTTATATTTAAAACTGCAATAAATGCACAATCTATTCCCCACCGTGGACCGCCGTCATTCAGTGCTCGACACAACGCTTGGCTTGAGGTTAATAAGGGACAGCCGGGCATAATAAATAAATCACAAACCGGCGTTCAGTTTGGTGGCGCGGCCTCTGTAGGGCCGTCTGCGGAAGTATCACCCACAGTTTCTACACCGAGAGGGAATTTTACTGTATTCTCCTCTTCCAAATTGTCTGTGCTTCCTTCATCCGGCTCTCGTAGCCATTAACTGCGAATCTATCCATGCCATTAGGTGCTTTCGTCGACTCAAGCGCTTCAACATGAAAAGTTAGCATTAATACGTAAACTCGAATTCAATGGTGGCGTTAATGACAACCACTGGTTCTTATACTAGTAGTTAATGCTTAGCAGTAACCATAATAAAATGAACATTTCACATACTTTTAGTGCAACAATGTTTTGGAGTTTCGATCGTTCATCAATTAAGTAAAGACATTATTTTCAAACTGAGTGCTTAAAGTTTACGAGACTCGTGATGCGGTTGGGAGGCATGTAACACGCTACCTAGCTGACGATGAAATATTCTTCGAATCGAATGAGCCTTGTTATGATTTATATTTGGCGTTTACCTAACAATATGGATTGATTCGATGTACTATTTTTTGCTTGGTAAGAAATACCTGTGTCGTGCTTAATTAATAGGTTTTAGCTGTGATGCTTAATAGATTTTACTGAACTGATGAACACAAAGACGATCTTCAGTCAACGTTCGCTCATTTTTTGTCAATTGATTTTATTTCAAAATTTTACATACAATAGTTATTTATAAAATAATGTAATAATTTTCATGGTAATTTATCATCCGAATTATTCCTAAATAAGTTGCATTCACCAGATTCTGGAATATGTTTCAGACGTTTTCTTATCAACAATTGGCAGAGAACAGCATTATAGGTACATGATAAAAAGTGGTACGACGACTGTTTCTTTTCATGATGAGGCCAATACGAAGTTTTTAATGAGACACGCACGCAAAAAAACTGGTTCTTGGACTCCATTACATGGAATGTATACAGCGTTTCATTCCTCAAGTTTCGTGTTGGTCGGTTTTTGGACTTTATTGCGTGGAATGCACAGGTACAGTGTTTCATGCCTCAAGTTTTGTGATCGTTTTTGGACTTCATTACGTGGAATGTGTGCAATGCATACCATTTTAAACGTTTTTCCCTGAAAAAATTGCATCAATAAAATACTGAATTCAATTGAAGTTTCTTTGTTAGCAGAGCGCGTTTGATGATAACTTTAGGCCGAATTTTCGAGCTTTTTGTTAAATAATTACTTTGAATTTGTGTTTTGAAAAGAGCAACAGATATGCTTGCATTGGGCCCCTAAACGTTCGCTGATCAATGAGACGAAATTCGGTAGAGTAGCAAACCCTGCAGCAAATTATTGGGATTTTGAATTGTACTAGCGTGCTTAGCTAGATGGTTAGCGATTCCTCAACAATTTAGAAGACATCGAGCGAAACGAATTCTTGCTGTACCATGAACACACAATACTTGAATCTCTCGAGCTATATTGAAGTACCGAGACTGGAGAATGCCCAATCTTTATGCGTTAACACAGGAAATAATTACACTACCCTAACTTGTTAGGGTTATAGCTCCATATTATTCATTTTACCAGTTACTTTCCAGAAATGACATTTTTCGTTACGCAAATAATATTTTTATTTCAATGTCAGAGCAGTTAAAAAAGTTGTAGTTTCGTAAGTGCAGTTAATTTTTTAATTCAATTGTGTTTGTTAATTTTTCAAAGAATCACAATTTTTTCACAATCCCAAGACCAGGATTTGATTTTGCGTTGTGTTTGAATAGTATCCTTACATGCCATATCATGCAAAACTAGCCCAGATGAGCGGAATCTGACTGTATAAGGGTTGTTCAGTGTCAGTCTCTACGCGGTTGTGAATGAGATGTCAGACGTTTCTTGGAATATTCATTCAAAAACCGCTGTATCAACTGAATTAAGTGTAAGAGGTAAACACCTTTGGAGTTTACCTCTTATTAACTAATAATGCTCCTGGTTTCATAGTTGTCTTTAGGCTATGTAATTAAATAGCTGTTTTTTCAAACTGGTTTAAATTCCCTAAGCGCTGGCGCTATTACCCATTTTAGTTATAACCCATGCAGCTGCAAAGGGTACATGGAGAGCGGTCCAGGCCGGTCTAACGCTTCCTATAAAAACAGGAGTCGCCAAACCGAAGCACTACTCCGCCGCACCTCCTCGTCCGGGTAAGTGGTCGCATTTCAGTGTAGTTATTAAGATAAGACTTACGGGTTTACCTGACATCTTTTGCAAGTGACAACACTTGTGGTACAGCAACTGTTAAGGGGAATAAAAGTCTGTCTAGTTATGTTGTCGACCTTTCATGACGACTTTAGTTTTAACCTTAACGTTAAGTATAGTGTCATATTTCACTATTTTCTCTTAGTTTAGAATTTAATACTGATGTTAATCTGCAAATTTCAGGAATGGTATGCCATACATCAGCCTAATGTGACTTTAAGGAGTGTATTCCCCATCATGCAATGCAATATAGATCAAGATGTATCGAACATTCGTCGCGGGATGCCAACATTGTAGGGATGAACATATGAGACGACGATGGTAGACTGAACATGACTATGATAATTAACTTGCGTCGCGGGATGCCAACATTGTAGGGGTAACATGAGACGACGATTGTAAACTTAACATGACTATCATCAGTGAAAATACGTACAGTCAAGTCAGAAGGTTGGGGCAGAATGGCCCAAAAGATGAGCATGCAGAAGCCAATTAGTCGCTCGGATTAAAGTCAAGTTTATTTTCAGTGGCACTAAATACAACATGTTCGTTGGTACCTCGGACTATAACGTCAATTAAATAATTTACTTTAAATTTGATCGCCCAACGATTTCCGTCGAATGGCAAGATGATCAACGCAGAAATGGTCAAAGAACAAAGTTGCCCAACGAGAGGTCTCTACAATAGCACTGATTATATTATATATTATTTGCTGCGAACATTATTGATCCATCGTGGTTTTCAACCTATAAAGCCCTTGAACGAAGTGCACGTGGGGGTGTAAATTTTAAAAAATTTTCTTGTCCTTTCTATTGATATACAGTTTAAGACAACTATGAAACCAGGAGCATTAATAAAAGGTACATTCCAAAGGCTTTCATTTCAGTTGGTACAGCGGTTCTTGAATTAATGTTCCAAGGAAAGTCTGACATCTCGGTTTCCACATGGTCTCAATTTACGTGACCAGACAAAATGGAGTGTTTAACTCGATTCCTGAGAGCTTCATGCTGCCCTGAGGTGGCGCTTAATTGCACCCTCTTGAGCACACGGGCCGTCCTCTGATCGCAAAATCCTGCTCATGAAGTTCGCTGAACTCGCGACTTCCAAGTTTTTTGTTCCTCTAGATTCCAGACGAGCGGTATAGGCAGTGAGGAGTTTCAAGGTTATCGCTCTTGACAAATTGTTCAAGGTGTTTAAATTAAAGAAAAAGTTTTATCTCCAACCTAGTGTAACATCGATATTCGATACACATAGCCCACAGAAGTCGGAATTAGCGCTGGCTAAATCCATTTACTCACTGGGTAGGTTTGTAAAAAATAAGAGCAAATTCAACGCCTAATGTTATCCTCAGACCGTGCAAATATTTTGAACATGGCAAGTCAAGCAACTCTGCCTTGGGCAGCCTGGCATACGTGGGAGCTTCAGCTCGTTTTTAGCATAGAGGCTGCATCTGGCAGGGCGTAAGGCTTTTCCCGTTCATTGACACCGCCAGTCCAGCACTTCGAAGCAAGATTAGCCAGCGGCAAATAGCTGAGGTAGAAACTCGTGTAATTATTAATTAGGGATAGCTGCGCCTGGTTTAAATTTCCATGGGAGTTGTTTGCAATTCTGGATACGATAATTAGAATAACAATACTCATAGGCATTCTATCACGACTTAAGTAAGCACTAGCCTGCTCGTGATGTGATATCTGCGAACAAAAAAATAATCCCGTTAACTTGGTACTGAGGTCACTTCGAAGCAGTCGTTGGCTTCAAGGGCTTAAACACAGCGGTCTGAGTGAGTCAACGGGTTCTTACGAGCGTATAAATCATTTTATGGATGAAGTTAGTGAATGAGTAAGGTTGTTTAATTATCTAATTAAAGTCAGAAGTCATGATACGAAACACTCAAATATTATTCTATTTTCCTCAGCGCATGATAGGTTCCATATCTCACCCATTCCTTCAATCCACGCAACACATTTAAACAGGATGCAATGAGATCGTTACTGTCACATTAACACAGCAAATCTTTTCCCCAGAATTGACTTGTCACTTTCGAGAAAGTCTTGGGATCATTTCGGCTGAGATGACCCGACCTCTGTTCATCATCATGGGCTTGAGCCTCCTGCTGGGGGCCAGCGCTCAGGGGCCTCAGATCGGCTTCTGTAACTCTTACCAAACAACGCAGAGCTTCGATGAAGCCTTCATTCAGAAGGTAATTAATTAATTGCTTTAAACTCTGTACGTGTGATGATTATAAAGTAAATTCTATTATAAACGGTTATGTTAACGATGTTTATGCATACATTTCAGGAAGATCGCTATAATTGACATACGATCGACTTCTACCTTCGTTAATTGACATAAGATTGTTCCCTCTAGCGCTTATGGAGGTGACATAATATACATATTATGTATACATAATATACATAATATACATAATACATAATATATGTATTATATCGTGACTTTTGCCAGATGCAAGCCAACGCGGATGGATATTCATTCGCCCTCACTTCCGGTCCGACTTTTGGCTGCCAGAACATAAAATTTTTCCCCAACGGAACATATGCCTACGACTTCATCGACGTGTGAGTGTAAATTTTCTTCACATTTTTATAAAAAATACACATCGCCTTTAGTGGTGCTGGGTTTCACAGGCAGTGAAATTATTAAAATTCCGTATTTATTATTGGAAGGTGTTTTTAAAATAATAAATTGTGCGCATACAATCTGTGATCTTGATTTTATGCGCAGAATAATGAGAAGCTTTTGCAAATAAAATAAAACCGAGTTGATGTTACATCTCCATAAATTAATACGAATCATGCTACTAAGGATAATTTTGCAGCATTATAGAATTACTTCAGCATACTCTGATTAATTAAGTAATCGGTGTGGATGATGTGAAAGCGCTAAGCAAAGAAAGCGCCATGAGAATTTGAAATATTAATTGATCGAAAATGCGTTTATGGCCCAAGGTACATTCAGCCTTTCTAAATTGAATGTAAGTGTATTCGTGAAGTATTTAAAAGAACTAATGTAGATTTCTTTATTTTTAAATTATTTGTTCACTTAAATTTCAAGTACACTGATGATATTAGTATTTCTGTAACCTTCAATTCAGAGACTACAGAAACATGGCGTTCAAACAGATAGAATTTCGGACTATTACTTTGAACAAATAAACTATAAATAAATCGGCATTGAATGGACAATATTAATGCATTGTTGCGCTCGCCCATTCCTGGCATTGCGGAATCTTTACATCTAGTTGGGGCTTCAAACCCGCGACTCCCAGGCTCGATCTTTATAAGTTAAAATTTAGCCCTTGTGCCATCCTGCCATCCAGTCAGAATTAGGATCATAATACATGAGGAAACAGCAGAAATGATTAGTTGCTGTGGTCTGGAAAACTATTCAATAAAACTTCATGGATATTTTACAGAGGCATGTATATAAATGCATTCTCAATGTAATTTTACAGGAGCAACACGCATGTCAACGCCACAGGCACCTACACCGCGACTCCTTTCTCCTACACGTCCCCGTCCAGCATCAGGCTCTCGTCCCTGCCTTATGGAGGTAATGACATCACAGACTAATCGGAGACCAGGTAAATTATACGGAAGACTTTATGCATTCAAAATTAAATTTTCCGGTGAATGCGGCAGGTGTTTACCATCGTTACCTTGGGACTCAACTTCCAATGTTTCAATGGGACTCAGCTTCCCTGTTTTAAATTGCCTGTTGATTATTTACCGTAAATCGCCTGAACCGTTTCTCTTATGTTCAAGCGAACATTTCTAGCAACCAGGCAAGCATATTTGTAATAATAACGATTGAAAATATCTTGACTTGTCTCACATGAAATGTTTGAAACGCAACCCGAAAAAATTGAACTTATTTTCATGGTACATAACATCATATTACAAATCACTTCTTCACCTGTACTCGCAACAAACATTATGTGCACACATTTAGTATAGAGAATAACGATTGCGAAATTCGTTGGCCACATCCATGAAAGTCATAATAAATATGTGTATAAATAAACTAAATATTTTCAACGGTTGCAGAACTGGGATCCATGTTCGGTGCGATCAGCTTGAGTGTGCTGGCAGCGACTGAAGACTACATAGCGCTGCTCTCCTGTGTCAACATCGGCCTCATCCGCACGCGTATGTTGTCATGTCACTAACTGAGAATATTTCGTGATACAGTATTTATATTTACCAGTACGATGCGTTAGGGTGTTAAGGGCAATTTTAGCTTATCATACATGACAAATATAGGAATATTGCAGTCATTGCGAACATTTACAAGCAATTTAATTCTGAAACTTTATTTTTACCACAAAAAATGCTTCATTGCTTAGAAGAGGCTGCAATTAATTTAGTATAATAATTTAATGTCATTTCATTCTAATATGATGAAAACTTTTGGATATCTTCTGCTGTGTTTTGTACGAGGTCTTAAAGGAAAAACACGTCACGTGTTGAAGATAACTCTAAAAATATAGTTATACAATGAGTCAATGAGCAAATAAAGTGATTGGGCTGCAATTTCCTACCTATAACGGAAAAGTATATGTCAGAAGGAGGGCTGCATGAACATTTAGAAATAATTGTATGTAATGTACAAATGGCTTTTCCTCGTGTACAGAACAACTGCACATCCTGATACCGAAAGCCAAAAGCGCTTCAATTGTGATGCCGGAGTTCAATGCGACTATTCAGGCGCTTGATCTCCCCCTAGAGGAGTACCTCCAGGAAGTTCAGCAAACGTGCGCCGCAAATGTGCGCCAATTGTCGGAAATCTTATTCCTCTACAGATTGCTGGTCAAATTCGGAGTCATCCCTCCTGTCTTAGGGAGTGAAAACCAGGCCAGTAACAATCCTACGTTATACGCCGCATTAGCAAGCCCTAATGAGAGTTCGGATGCCACCGACGCTATCACACAAGCCGTCGTTCAAGCTCTGAACTTATTGCAATCAAATGCACAATCATTCAGCTATCCTCAACCTACTACTTTCAGTGGGCACCAATTGAACTCCGCTCCTGTAGTCGCAGGTCAGCAAGTCTTTCCTCAAACTACGGTTCAGTTTGGCGGCGCTCAGGTACAGAATCCAGCAGTCAATGTATACCCTGTGGCATCCCCTGTTGCTGGTAACTTTGTCCACAATCCTGCACAATTCTCTGGGTACCCATCATTTATTTCTCCAAGCTTTTCTTCCTCGTTTGATCCGTTCCGCGCTGTACGACCTGCAGTTTCCGTCCCGCAGCCGTTGCATGTAGGGCAGCCAGAGACTGGCGTCTTTAACGCCATCTTCCAACGTTGATCGCTATCATCAATGGCGATTAATTGGGCATTAATAGTCTAGCTCCAGGACTACTTTCTCTAGTACGAACTTATTTTGTGAACAAAGACAATGAGTAACCAAAACGAATCGAGTTTTTCATTTTACTATAATGCTATGGATTTTTAAGTTTATTTTTGAACAAGCGACTGGTGTTCTTCGTACATTAATTAAAACTTCCTATTCTATCAGAGCACATCTTGTCGAAAGTTGAATAAACGGACTATCATTTTGATTTTCAGTTTCCTTTACCTGAAGTCCGTAGTGCATTACTTCTTGTGGTGAACGACACAAATTAAAAGTTGGCAACTGTCATCCCGACGTTTACTTGGTGCCGATGTTATAGGTAATGAGAGGATCGGATATGATTAGCGGGGAGGGCAGTTCTGTCCGGATCGTGTGATGATAGTAAATTGTGATGATTAAAAATAGGTAAATTTTACCACAGTTAAGCCTCTTTCACACAAGGCGGCAAATACCGCAAACGTCAATTAAACGTGACGGTATTTAACGCGTAATCATTCGCACGAGGCGCTGTTTAACGCTGGAATCTATCAGACTTGCAGTGCTGTTCTCCGAAAATTGTCATCAGTGTTTGTGAACTTTGTCTATAAATTACTGCTGAGTGTAAAGAAAAGAAGGCTCTCATTTTATACACGCTGCGTAAAAAAACAGAAAAGGAAGAAAAGAAGGCAGTGCTGTGTTCACAATATAGAAACTTTAAACCCGATAAAAATATGTTTCAATGTTCACAAACTTGTCATTACAAAATTCATTCATTACTCCTTACATTCATTAACAAGAAGGAACGAGTTTAATTATCCTTAACTCTTCTAGTAGCTGGAGCTGCTAACACCCTCACCGACCCACTGTCTGCACCACATTAGGATGTAGCATCAAAACCGCATTGTGTGAAAGATTACAATGAATATTATTGCAAGCTAAACTGTTGCGGCAAATCTACCGCTGCCGTTTTAGCAGTACATACGCGGGCATCAGGCGTAAAATTCTACGCTTCGTTTAAATCTGTCGTGTGTGAATAGCTGTGTACATTTTGTATGTCCGCTGAGGTACGGCGGTAAATACCGTCGGGCGCATGCAGTTTTTGCCGCCCTGTGTGAAAGGGGCCTTAATGTCGTAATGAAAGTTATTCGGTTTTAGGATTTCTAATTATCAGATATGATAGAAAAAAATAAATATAACTCAATACTCACTGCAGTGAGTGACAGAGAGCGCATTTTCTCGTCGACGAAAACGTGAATCACGGACGGATGGACGGACGGACAGACGGACGGACAGACGGACATGGCGAGCACAATAAGGTATTATTTTCCATCGTGGTGTCCGAGGCCGTTCGTTTCTTTGTTGAAATGCGGGGCACCGCCGGTTTGAAGGAGTGACCGTACACTTTCACTTTTTCGTGGACTGCATCGACGGTGTCCTTGGGGAACAGGGCTGGCCCGATGAGTGGGGCCTTCACTAGATCTGACACCAAGTTGGAGGGCTGCATGCCCTTGGTGACTTCTTCGCGGCATTTAACTTTGTTGAAGTTGACTTTAGAACCCAGTGAGATGAAGGCTGGGGTGAGGTTGGACATGGCCAGGTCGATGATGCCCTGTAGGTGCTTGGCGGTCTGCTTGCCCTCCTTGCGGAAAAACTCGGTGGCGGGCTTCGCCATGCCCAACACTTCCATGGTTTTACCGACGGAGTCGAAGCGGAACCCGTCTGACGCGGTGGTGGAGGGGGTGTTGGCGAGGGTCTTACTGCAGGGGCGGAAGGCCTTGTCCAAATGTCCTCACAGGCTCACGTGTTCGAGGGACAATGGTTTCCCGTTTAGGGACTGTATAGGCGGGGGTCCTCGCTCATGAAGATGAGGAGGTCGTCCTGGGTGGCCTCCGGTTTAAAAAGGCGGCAGCTGGCGAACAGGTCCTTGCCAGCGATGGCGGCGTTGTCGTTTGCTGGTCTGAACAATTTCGGGTTTCTGACCTGCTTCGTCTTGAAGCTTTCTCTGTTGTATAAGACGCCGTCAATGCGCCACGCCACCCTGTTGTTCGACTTCGGGACCTCCTTGTAGTCGGGGATGACGTACCATTTCTCGTCCTCCGTGGAGGACTCCTCGGACTCGGACTCGGAGAATGTGATCGGGGTGACGTTGATGGGGGCGCTGGCAGTCTCGCTCGAGCTGAGAGCGGCGGGTGTTGGTAAGGATTGAGAGGGCGTTTGTTGGGGCACGACCTGTGGAGATGCTGGTTGCACAATCTGGGGAGCTCGTGGTTGGTGGACCTGAGGCGGGAACACCTGGCTTGCAACTTGTTGGACCGGGGAAGGATCCGCGTAAGATTCCTCAGGCTGCGAGGACTTGTCCTCTTCAGAGAAGTCCCCCAATTCATCCATAGAGACCGGGCCTTCCTCTTCGGAGAAGGAGTCTTCCCCCCCGGAAGAAGCGTACTCGAGCGAGGAGAGATGTTCTCGCTGAGGGTTGTGGCCCGAGGTCGATGGAACAGGCTCGGTCGTGGCGGGGTCTCGTTGCATTGCAGTCGGGCGAGCCTCCAGTGTGCCCAGTCGAGCGGTGATGGAACGCAACATCTCGAAGATGGCGTCAAAGTTTTCTGTGTCGCTGCCCGTCGAGAGTGATGCGGTAGACATTGCTCCAGGGAGCGTTGTCGCTGAGGGAATCTTTGTCCCCTCATTTCTCTGTTCCGCTGACGCGGGAGATTTTCTCGCCGGTGCGGGAACTTGTCCCGCCGATGCGGGATCTCGTCCCACCGAGGCGGGTAACGTTACCGCAGGCGCGGCGATGGCTGGCTCAGGTTGGATAGGTAATTCGTAGGGATCCACGTCCTGGATGAGACCATCGAGGCCTGGGAGGTGCCTGATAAAGTTTCGTACGCGGAGGGAAGTAGTGCCGCGGATGCCTCCCCAGTACAGTAGGGAGCGGGAACGACGGTAAGGTTTGGCCCGGAAGTGGCGGGAAGTGGAGGGTTTCTGCTTGTCCCGGCGTTATCGGACTGAAGGCGTCAACCGAGATGTACCGGGAAATATCTGAAGAGCTGGAGGGCACGGAGGAAGCTCTGGAATGGGGGCGTTTAGCTTGGCGATAGCCAACATCGAAGGCTTTGTCGTTGTCGGAAGCCCAACGGAGCCCTTCCCCTTGCCACCTCGATTTTTGTGCCCTGTTGAGGGCCTGGCTCTGGAGGCTCGCGAACATTCTGCGGGCGAACTCTCTTTCAGCAGGATCGGCGTCCGCCAGCTTAGGAAGCAGGGATAGGCACTCGTCACAGCCTGAAGGCTTGCAGATGCCCCCGATCAGAATGCATTTGCTGTGTTTTGCACAGCTATGTTGCAGGCCTCTTGGAGCACTTATAGCAGGATTGGTCCGCCACGGTAGAACCAGAGGAGGAAATGACAGTTGTAAGAAACAGAAGCGACCCTTCCAGCATCAACAATGCGAAATTTTATAGGAATATAATGCAATTTAAATAGGTATCCTATTAAAATTTTAATAAACGACATGGTTTGAAACAGGGAAAACTTCCCGCACCCTTCGGCATGCGGGAAGCTGATCCGAGTTTGGAGCGTGAATGAGTATCGGAGACGAAGCATACCGACAATCTATTGACGATAAATGAATCTGAATGATGGCCGGCGGCAAAGCGCATCGGCAGTCTATTTAGATTGAATTTTAAAATAAGGCGCGGGATCGCGGGAAGCGATCCCGCCGGTAATGATTCCCGCCAGAGTGGCGGGAAAACTGAATCTGAATGACCGCCGGCGACAAAGCGCATAGGCAGTCTATTCAGATTGAATTTTAAAATAAGGCGCGGGATCGCGGGAAGCGATCCCGCCGGTAATGATTCCCGCCAGAGAGGCGGGAAAACTGAATCTGAATGACCGCCGGCGACAAAGCGCATAGGCAGTCTATTCAGATTGAATTTAAAAATAAGGCGCGGGATCGCGGGAAGCGATCCCGCCGGTAATGATTCCCGCCAGAGTGGCGGGAAAACTGAATCTGAATGACCGCCGGCGACAAAGAATCTCGGTAGTCTATTAGCTGTCTCTTATACACATCTAGATGTGTATAAGAGACAGGCTTGATGTTATTTGGCTGATTGATTCATATCCAGGAAAGGAAATGACGCCTATGGCTTTAGGCACTTAATCACACAGGCTAATATGCCCTCTAGCGTGATTACGAGCGGAAAGGAATAGATATTGAATTGTGGGCAAGGGCTATGTAGGGGTCTATACTGCGTCCCCGGTCGGTCGATGCCGTAGCTTAAACCTCTGTATCGCCACTCTGTATTACCACCCCGTATACAAGATACGTTATCAGGACTTATGTGTCTTACTTATCCCTCACTACCTTAGTCAACGAAGAACCCGATCCTCAGGTAGAGCTTAATATAACAAGAGCTCAATATCATAGTTTGTAGTTAATTTACAACCTGTGACAGTGGCGCCCGGACAGGGACCATTTAACTGATGGGATAAAACTTTGGGGTAAAATTTTTACGTTTAGGGAAAATCAAACGACGCGCTACGTGGGTTAGTTACAGAAGCCGATCTGAGGCCCCTGAGCGCTGGCCCCCAGCAGGAGGCTCAAGCCCATGATGATGAACAGAGGTCGGGTCATCTCAGCCGAAATGATCCCAAGACTTTCTCGAAAGTGACAAGTCAATTCTGGGGAAAAGATTTGCTGTGTTAATGTGACAGTAACGATCTCATTGTGTTCCCACGTGCACTTCGTTCAAGGGCTTTATAGGTTGAAAACAACGATGGATCAAAAATGTTCGCAGCAAATAATATATAATATAATCAGTGCTATTGTAGAGACCTCTCGTTGGGCAACTTTGTTCTTTGACCATTTCTGCGTTGATCATCTTGCCATTCGACGGAAATCGTTGGGCGATCAAATTTAAAGTAAATTATTTAATTGACGTTATAGTCCGAGGTACCAACGAACATGTTGTATTTAGTGCCACTGAAAATAAACTTGACTTTCCTCCGAGCGACTAATTGGCTTCTGCATGCTCATCTTTTGGGCCATTCTGCCCCAACCTTCTGACTTGACTGTACGTATTTTCACTGATGATAGTCATGTTAAGTTTACAATCGTCGTCTCATGTTACCCCTACAATGTTGGCATCCCGCGACGCAAGTTAATTATCATAGTCATGTTCAGTCTACCATCGTCGTCTCATATGTTCATCCCTACAATGTTGGCATCCCGCGACG